TATTTCATGTGGTCAAATTTTTTTTTTTCATACTTTGTGGTGTCTTGCATGGATTAATTTGATTTCCATTATTTCTTATGGGGAAAATTAATTCGCCATATGATAATTTCAGCTTATGATGAGCTCTCATGAACGGATTAATATCGTAAGGCGGGGGTCCACTGTACTTCTGACAATATGTTCAATAACTGGCTTGTACATTTTTACAAAAATATTAATGAAAAATAATAATAAAGTTTTAAATTTACAAGAATTGAACTGGATTTTAATTAATTACTGTTATGAACATCCTCTTTTTGATGAAGTAAAATCAAGAAAGTTTACTGTCGCAGCAAATTATACAGTGGAACCTCAGCTGTCGAATTTAATTTGTTCTAGATGTCGATTCAACAACCAAAGCAATTTTTCCCATAAAGAATAATGTAAAAAGAATTATCTGTTCCAGACTCCAAATGGCAATATAATAATTTATTAAAATACACTACTACACAAAATTGTAAAAATGAATATTTAAAGGAACTTTAACCGAAATTGTAAGTAAATGAAAATTTAATCCCTTTTTCCTGTCAAAAGAGAGAAATGGCAATGGGAAGAGGAGGTTTGAGGAGAGGAGGGGGTTTTTGTTACTGCTGGAAGGAGGTCACCTTTATTAATTGTAGGCTGAAATTTTGTTGGTGAATTCCCGCCCTTTATGTAAAGAAAAAGGAGCAATGAAATAATGGAATTTATTTTGTGGCAAGTTTGTTTCCCCAGGAGCTTTGCAGGCCTTCACAAAAGTACATGGACATGTAATGTATGATTGAAAGGGGCTTAAAAAGCTCCTGGAGCAAAAACGTTCCCAAAATAAAAAATGTCACACAATTTTGCACTTGTGTCCTTTTTTTTTTACAAATGTCGGCAACTGCCCTTTTGGCATTGCTACCTTTATTGTTTTTCACCCAACCCTTGTTCTGGCTCACTGGTTGTTTGTCTCACTAAAAACCTGTCTAGTGAGGTTTGTTTCAGGCTCCATTTTAACACTTCTCTAAACCGAGACATTACAATGTCATTGTACATGTTAGAGAGAGAGATGGCCACTGCTTTTTCTGGATGGTATTTTTCAGCAAATTCCTGCACTTCATGCCATTTAGCACACATTTCCTCGACAAGTGCAATGAGTACATCATCCCTTCCCTCCTCTTCTGATGACAGCTCCTCCACTGCAATATGTTGCTGCTCCTTTTGAAGGTCTACAAGTTCTTCTGTGGTGAGTTCAGTTCTGTGCTCCTCCACCAACTTCTCCACATCATCTTCAGTCACCTCTAGGCCCAAGGTCTTCTATCAAACCAACCCCTACTAGCTTTGAGGGATTGAGTTTCAGCACCTGTTCCATTTTTTTTTCTTCAGGTCATCAGGCAACTGCCTTTTTTTCCACAAATACGTAATGGCCTTTAAAACACTATCATCATGTAACTGTTTTTCATTTACCCAAATCAACAGGAGTTTTTCAACCTCCTCAATAATTGGTGGCTTTTGCTTTGATATCACTTTCATGCCTGTTGCAAGGTCAGCTGTTTTAATTTTTTCCCTTTGGCCCAGTATCGTGCTAATGGCAGAGTTTGATTTACCAAAAAGTTTTGCTATATCAACCATGCAGAACCTATCTTCTTCATACTTTCTAATGATTTCTTTTAAACTCACCAGTGCTTTTTACAACTTTTCTCTTTGCTGTCATCTCTTTATCCTTCTTTGGACCCATGATGGCTTATCTCACAATAAAAAAAATTGCACCAAAACCACAAAATAACAAAAAATGTTCACAAGATACACAACAAAATCTCAAAGAATGTTTACAGCATGCGAGTTAGTGAGCCCATGACCTGAGCTGTTCACGTTATTAGTCGACAATCAAGAGAATGTACGAAAACCAGCAACTTTTTCTCTCAAATTCCTCGTTCGAAAATCATTTTGTTTGACAAGTAATGCAGTCGACAACTGAGGTTCCGCTGTATAACATTCCAAAGTATGTATAATATATAAGTACCTAAGATCCGCATAAAATTTCTCAATATAATTTACACAACCACAATCTTTCTCTCAAATTTAAATTTTAAATAAAAATGAATTAAGAAATAAAAGTTACAAACAACAAATACTCTGTACAGCACTGCTGACTACCTGTAAAAGCTGCATATTAAAGAATTTTCCATACAAGAAATATCGATTTTTTTTTTTTGGCAAAAATTGGATTAAAGCTGTATATTATATGAGAAACATTCCTGTTTCCTGAGAAGAGTACTGTATTAACCCTCTGACTGTTTTGGTCGTACATATACGTCTTATGCGCCACTGTTTCGAACGTATTAACACGCGTAAATTCTAGCGGCTTCAAATCAAGCAGGGGAAAGCTGGTAGGCCCACATGTGAGAGAATGGGTCTGTGTGGTCAGTGTGCACCACATAAAAAAAATCCTGCAGCACACAGTGCATAATCAGAAAAAAAAAAAGACCGTTTTTTTTTTTATTAAAACGCCGACTTTGAGGTGTATTTTCATATAGTATTTATCGTTTTATTCTCGTTTTCATGGTCTCACGTGATAAAATGTAAAACATATTACAGAAATAGAGATGATTTTGATTAGTTTCACTATGAAAACGACCTTGAAATTGAGCTCAAAGTAGCGGAAATGTTCGATTTTTACCAATATTCAGGAGTAAGCAAATCACACCACACGTCCAATACACGTCAACTGGGGAGTCTAATATTCTTTCACTAGTGCACTGATATTACTTATACCATTTATACAATAATGCATTAGTCTGCATAACAGTAAATTTTGTATTTTTTGTATGAATAAAAAATCAAAATAGAAAGCAATAGTAATATAGAGGGGCCTAGAGACATGACTAATGAACAGAGGATATGTTATTTTAGTGCCAAGAATGTCTACATTGTTTATTCTGGACCCTATTTTGAAATTGGCATCTTTTTTAATTTGTGTGAAATTGGCCAAATTGCCAATTTCTGACCACTTTACTGGGTAGTTCAAATCAGTAAATGGGCGGTTTCTTGTACTCAACTGATAGAAAAAATGGTGTTCTAAAGAAATAGCTATGAGTTTGGTCAACTGGAACAACGGAATTGGCCAAAAACAGGGCTCAAAGTCGGCAAAATTGCCAATGCGTATTTGCTGCCGAGACCGCTAACTTCGTGGGAGCGTAATTCCGTGAGTTTTCGACCAAATTTCATACTTTTGGTGTCATTACCATCAGGAAAAGATTCTCTCTCATTTCACAAGAAAAAATAATTTTTTTTTTCCCAAAAATTTAGCGACAGAATGACAGTTTCAGAAAGGGGCTTGCGACAGTCAAAGGGTTAATATACTTTCACGCCCTCCAAATTTTTTCATGCCTCTGATGTGGAACTACAAGTTTATTAATAAAAAATGCAGGTACACATTTACCTTTTGAAACAAAATGTCAACATCCATACAACTACAAATATTTTATGTACTACTTACAGTATTAAATAGTTGCAGTCTTACAGTAAAAAGTTATACTCACTTATCAGAACTTTGCTAAGTCTCTTTTGGCCCGGAGACATGGAGAGGCACTTTCTGTAATATTCTGATAGGTTCACCTTCATGAGGCATATTTGATCATTCCTCTATGCAGAATCTCTCCAGTTTTTCATAGTGCTGGTACTTACAATTGTTAACTGTCTTTTTGAACTTGTGCATAAATTTTCCATTGAAACAAAGCCAGGAAATTGTAAAGGTCAACTATAAAAGTGTGATTAGTGCTCCTTCAAACATTCCAACACTGACTTGAATGTGCTTCACATTCTTATGATGGAGTGTCCATTTGTGGCAAAACTAAAGTTTTTAGACAAGAAGGTAATACATTCTTAGCATAAAAAAAAAAATCTCTTATATTTTTGTTTCCATTCATCCCTCAAGTCTAACAACGGCACTTGGTGAGGATGAAGAAATGCTCTAGGGAAGAACGGATCTGCCTCCATTTTTCATAGTGGGAATATTATCACTCTCAATGAACTGTTTGGTTGATGAGGATCAGTTTTGCACTGGGGCTGCTTTTTCAGGTGTCTTGTCAGAATTGAGTAATGGATGGATACCAAAATATGACAGGATATTTTAGCGAGAAACCTAGTGCTCTCAGTAAAGAATCTTAAAGGTTAGTTGCAAATGGATGCTCCAGCATATTAACCCACAGGACACATACATCTCCAAGACAAAATACACCTTCTTGATTGGCTGCTATTACAACCTCCCCGCCTCACCCCAAACAAAAAGTGACAACTTTTTTTAAATGGGGAGGAAAACCTAAATACACTGACTTCCTTCCATCAACTCGATATCGAGTCTTTCAGTGCCTATAACTTTTTTCTATTTCTCTCATCATCTTGCTCTTACCTATGCTCACTGTTCACATCTTTTACATACCCTCCTAAATTTTTCCATAAAATAATGAAACTTTTCTTCAGAACTTCCAAATAAACTGTGCCACAGGCAATGAGCAACTGTGACAAATCCCATAACTGGCCCCTACACCATAGGAATTACTTCTTTTTACAACCCCCAACTATAAATATGTTAAGCAACCATGGTGACATCACACACTCCTGCCTAAGGCCTACTTTTACTAGAAACTCGTACATTTTTCTCCTACATATCCTAACCTGAATCTCACTCTACATAAATACTCTTCACTAATTTTAGTAACCAACAACCTATTGTATACACTTGCAACTTCTGCCACACTGCTGCCCTATTCACCCTACCATATGTCTTCTCTAAATCTATAAATGGAACAAAGAATCCCCTACCCTTATCTACATGTTATTCACATACAGTACATCATTCAATGTAAATACTTGGTCTACTCTTCTTAAGTCCTCCTTGTTCCTCTGCAATCCTAATTTCTATTTTATCCCAAAAGTTTTAAATAATAATTCTACTACTTTACTTTACCTGGTATACTTACTAGGTTTATTACCTATTATTATTACTTTTTTTTTTTGTTCTCTTTTCCACTTATACAAAGGAATTCAGTATATGCTCTCTGTAAATTCTTAGGTACCTTCCTTTCTTTCATATATGCATAAAATAAATATGCCAACCATTCCAAAACTACTGTACATTCCCACCCACTTTTAGCACATCAGCCTTTCTTCCATCTGTTCCAGCTGCTTTACCTCCTGTCTTTCTACCCACTTTCCCCTCATTCACCTCTGGCTCTTCCTTACTCCTACAAGATGTTATTCCTTCCTGCCCAATGCACGAAATCACCGCCTCCCTTTTATTAACAACTCTCAAGATATTCTCTCCATCCTTTCAGTACCTCCATCTCTCCATCTAATATACCATTTTTTGTTTTTAACTGGCATGCTCACTGACTTTCCAGATCTTTTCAACTTATCAATCTCTCTCCAAAATGGTTTCTTATGGTTGGCAAAATTTGATGATAGACACTTGCTCATTCTCTCATCAGCATTCCTTTGCACTTTTACACAAGAGGTTAAACAAATACTAGTGTGAAAGTGCAAAAGGAGTGCTAATGAGAGAATAAGTCTCAATCAGCAAATTTTACTGATAATTTTTTCTGAACATCTACCTCGTACTCTTAATGTAACTACCACTAAATAATGATATTACACTATTATAACTGTACAGGACTTGACATTATTTTTGTGTAGCATCAGTACACCTGCACTTTTGGCTTTATCAACCTTAAGACACATGCCATCATGGGTATGAATAAATTCAAAGGATATTATATATACAGTATATATACACACAGTAATACTAATGATTATATCTGAAGAACTCAATCAAAATTCTAAATTACTATTTAACACTGTGAATTATATATACACATATATAGCATTTATACATACCAAACTTAAATACTAAAGTCAGATTATTTTTTTTTTACAAGGTGACATACTGTACTAAAGTTTTCATTTGGCATAAACTAAGTTTTTCCTGAACACAAGACTAAGAAAAATTACTGAGATCACCCTCCTGAAAAATTGAAAATGCTAATAACTGTTGTTGGCAAGAAATACATTAGCACATATCTTAATGAGGTCCTGAATTAATGTTGTGTGTACATAACAAGATTTAAAGCACAGTCTCATTACCTGTTCACCAACGAAGCTATATTCAAGTAAATATTAAAAAAGTGATGATAATGTTGTTAATGAGTTCTCTATATACAAGTACTGGTACTAAAATACTGCAATGCAATATGTATGTGTTCTATTTCCTAGTCAACTAGCACTATTAACATACTTTAAAATGTAATATATTATTTTCAAGAATATGAATTTTAGCATACTATGTATTTTATGTCCTTTAGGAAATGATGTCACATGATACTTTTGATGTAAATGTATGAATAATTGTTTTGTCCGTCCACTGCCGAAACAAAAATTCTGTTTGTGTTATATGTACATTTCCATGTTCTTCTTGACCTGGTGACCAGTTGTGGAGTTCTGCACTGCCCAGTCAGCATCAGGGGCAGTATCTGCACCATCTGCCTCGTGAGTTTGGTAGTCACCCTTGTGTCTTGCCATGTAGCGTCCAATTAAGAACCCCATGCACAGCAATGCAAGAAAAATGATTCCAAGAACTCCTGTGAAAAAAAAATTCCTGTATAGATTATTTACTTACCTTAAAGTTTTTATTTTTAAAGTATTTATTTTTTAATACACTAGGCATTTCCTACCAAGGCAGGCTAACCCAACAAAGAAATACTTTCACCATCATTCATACTATCACTTTCTTGCCAGAGGCCCACAGATATGACAGTTTAGATGTCACTCTAAACAGCAAATATCCCAAATGCCTCTTTTAGAGTGCAGGCACAGTATTTCTCACCTTCAGGACTCAAGTTCAGCAAACTGATTTCCCAGACTCCCTTCACAAAACATTACCCTGCTCACACTCCAACAGCTAGTCAAGCCCCGCTCATTCCTATTTAACATGCTCAAATATGCCTGCTGTATGTCCAAGACCCCTTGCATATAACCTCCTTTACCCCATCCCTCCATCCTTTCCTTGGATGACCCCTACCCTGCCATCCCATCATTACAGATTTATATACCCTCTAAGTCATTCTATTTTGCTCCATCCTCTCTATATGACCAAACAACCTCAACAACAACTCCTCAGCCCTCTGAATAATACTTTTATTAACACTGCACCTTCTAATTTCCACACTACAAATTTTCTGCATATTTATGCCACACACTGCCCTTAGATAATATCTCCACTGCCACCAAGCTCCTCCTTGCTGCAACATTCACAACCCCATACTTCACAGGGATATCTTGATATTCCTACTTATACTTTGGTCACACTTCACAGACGCACACATGCATATATATATATATACATACATCTAGGTTTTTCTCCTTTTTCTAAATAGCTCTTGTTCTTCTCTATTTCTTCTATTGTCCATGGGGAAGTGGAAAAGAATCTTTCCTCCGTAAGCCATGCGTGTCGTATGAGGCGGCTAAAATGCCGGGAGCGATGGGCTAGTAACGCCTTCTCCTGTAGACATTTACTAAAAAAGAGAAGAAGAAAAACTTTATAAAACTGGGATGCTTGAATGTGCGTGGATGTAGTGCAGATGACAAGAAACAGATGATTGCTGATGTTATGAATGAAAAGAAGTTGGATGTCCTGGCCCTAAGCGAAACAAAGCTGAAGGAGGTAGGGGAGTTTCGGTAGGGGGAAATAAATAGGATTAAATCTGGAGTATCTGAGAGAGTTAGAGCTAAGGAAGGGGTAGCAGTAATGTTGAAGGATCAGTTATGGAAGGAGAAAAGAGAATATGAATGTGTAAATTCAAGAATTATGTGGATTAAAGTAAAGGTAGGATGTGAAAAGTGGGTCATAATAAGCGTGTATGCACCTGGAGAAGAGAGGAATGTAGAGGAGATAGAGAGATTTTGGGAGATGTTAAGTGAATGTATAGGAACCTTTGAACCAAGTGAGAGATTAACTGTGGTAGGGGACCTGAATGCTAAAGTAGGAGAAACTTTTAGAGAGGGTGTGGTAGGTAAGTTTGGGGTGCCAGGTGTAAATGATAATGGGAGCCCTTTGATTGAACTTTGTATAGAAAGGGGTTTAGTTATAGGTAATACATATTTTAAGAAAAAGAGGATAAATAAGTATACAAGATATGATGTAAGGCGAAATGACAGTATTTTGTTGGATTATGTATTGGTAGATAAAAGACTGTTGAGTAGACTTCAGGATGTACATGTTTACAGAGGGGCCACAGATATATCAGATCACTTTTTAGTTGTAGCTACACTGAGAGTAAAAGGTAGATGGGATACAAGGAGAATAGAAGCATCAGGGAAGAGAGAGGTGAAGGTTTATAAACGAAAAGAGGAGGCAGTTAGGGTAAGATATAAACAGCTATTGGAGGATAGACGGGCTAATGAGAGCATAGGCAATGGGGTCGAAGAGGTATGGGGTAGGGTTAAAAATGTAGTGTTAGTGTTCAGCAGAAGTTTGTGGTTACAGGAAAGCGGGTGCGGGAGGGAAGAGGAGCGATTGGTGGAATGATGATGTAAAGAGAGTAGTAAGGGAGAAAAAGTTAACATATGAGAAGTTTTTACAAAGTAGAAGTGATGCAAGGAGGGAAGAGAATATGGGGAAAAAGAGAGAGGTTAAGAGAGTGGTGAAGCAATGTAAAAAGAGAGCAAATGAGAGAGTGGGTGATGTTATTAACAAATTTTGTTGAAAATAAGAAAAAGATAAGAAAAAATAAGAGATTAACAAGTTAAGGAAGCCTAGAGAACAAATGGATTTGTCAGTTAAAAATAGGAGAGGAGAGTTATTAAATGGAGAGTTAGAGGTATTGGGAAGATGGAGGGAATATTCTGAGGAATTGTTAAATGTTGATGAAGATAGGGAAGCTGTGATTTCGTGTATAGGGCAAGGAGGAATAACATCTTGTAGGAGTGAGGAAGAGCCAGTTTTGAGTGTGTGGGAAGTTCGTGAGGCAGTAGGTAAAATGAAAGGGGGTAAGGCAGCCTGGATTGATGGGATAAAGATAGAAATGTTAAAAGCAGGTGGGGATATAGTTTTGGAGTGGTTGGTGCAATTATTTAATAAATGTATGGAAGAGGGTAAGGTACCTAGGGATTGGCAGAGAGCATGCATAGTTCCATTTGTATAAAGGCAAAGGGGACAAAAGAGTGCAAAAATTATAGGGGGAGAAGTCTGTTGAGTATACCTGGTAAAGTGTACGGTAGAGTTATTATTGAAAGAATTAAGAGTAAGACAGAGAATAGGATAGCAGATGAACAAGGAGGCTTTAGGAAAGGTAGGGGGTGTGTGGACCAGGTGTTTACAGTGAAACATATAAGTGAACAGTATTTAGATAAGGCTAAAGAGGTTTTTGTGGCATTTATGGATTTGGAAAAGGCGTATGACAGGGTGGATAGGGGGGTAATGTGGCAGATGTTGCAGGTGTATGGTGTAGGAGGTAGGTTACTGAAAGCAGTGAAGAGTTTTTACGAGGATAGTGAGGCTCAAGTTAGAGTATGTAGGAAAGAGGGAGATTATTTCCCAGTAAAAGTAGGCCTTAGACAAGGATGTGTGATGTCACTGTGGTTGTTTAATATATTTATAGATGGGGTTGTAAGAGAAGTAAATGCAAGGGTCTTGGCAAGAGGCATGGAGTTAAAAGATAAAGAATCACACATAAAGTGGGAGTTGTCACAGTTGCTCTTTGCTGATGACACTGTGCTCTTGGGAGATTCTGAAGAGAAGTTGCAGAGGTTGGTGGATGAATTTGGTAGGGTATGCAAAAGAAGAAAATTAAAAGTGAATACAGGAAAGAGTAAGGTTATGAGGATAACAAAAAGATTAGGTGATGAAAGATTGGATATCAGATTGGAGGGAGAGAGTATGGAGGAGGTGAATGTATTCAGATATTTAGGAGTGGACGTGTCAGAGGATGGGTCTATGAAAGATGAGGTGAATCATGGAATTGATGAGGGGAAAAGGGTGAGTGGTGCACTTAGGAGTCTGTGGAGACAAAGAACTTTGTCCTTGGAGGCAAAGAGGGGAATGTATGAGAGTATAGTTTTACCAACGCTCTTATATGGGTGTGAAGAATGGGTGATGAATGTTGCAGCGAGGAGAAGGCTGGAGGCAGTGGAGATGTCATGTCTGAGGGCAATGTGTGCTGTGAATATAATGCAGAGAATTCGTAGTTTAGAAGTTAGGAGGAGGTGTGAGATTACCAAAACTGTTGTCCAGATTGCTGAGGAAGGGTTGTTGAGGTGGTTCGGACATGCAGAGAGAATGGAGCGAAACAGAATGACTTCAAGAGTGTATCAGTCTGTAGTGGAAGGAAGGCGGGGTAGGGGTCAGCCTAGGAAAGGTTGGAGGGAGGGGGTAAAGGAGGTTTTGTGTGCGAGGGGCTTGGACTTATAGCAGGCATGCGTGAGCGTGTTTGATAGGAGTGAATGGAGACAAATGGTTTTTAATACTTGACGTGCTGTTGGAGTGTGAGCAAAGTAACATTTATGAAGGGATTCAGGGAAGCCGGCAGGCCAGACTTGAGTCCTGGAGATGGGAAGTACAGTGCCTGCACTCTGAAGGAGGGGTGTTAATGCTGCAGTTTAAAAACTGTAGTGTAGAGCACCCTTCTGGCAAGACAGTGATGGAGTGAATGATAGTGAAAGTTTTTCTTTTTCGGGCCACCCTGCCTTGGTGGGAATCGGCCAGTGTGTTATTAAAAAGAAAAAAAAAAATTCTGCACCTTTAGTCCAAATTTTGATTATGGGAAATATTTAATTTTTGATAAATTTCTGTACCTTTAGTCCAAATTTTAACCCTTTCAGGGTTGAGATACCTGATCTTGAACTTGCTCTCAGGGTCAAAAATAAAAAATTCTCATGAAATGATAAGAGAATCTTTTCCTGATGGTAATGGTATCAAAAGTACAAAATCTGATGGAAAACCTATGAAATTAGACTCTTGCAAAGTTAGCGATGTCAGAGATACTTCACATTGGCGATTTTGCCTACTTTAAGCCCTATTTTCGACCAATTCCATTCTTCCAGTCAACTATTATCACAGGTATTTCATTAGAACTCTATTTGTTCTATCGATTGAGTACAAAAAAACGCCCATTTACCGATTTCAACTACCGAATAAAGTGGTCAGAAAATGGCAATTTGGCCAATTTCACACAAATTTCAAAGGATGCCAATATCAAAATAGGGCCCAGAATAAAGAAGACAGACATTCCTGGCACTAAAATAATGTTTTCTCTGTTCATTAGTCATGTCTCCAGGCCCCTCTTATATTACTTGCTGTTATGTAGACTACTGCATTATTGTAAAAATGGTATAAATAATATCACCACACTTGTCAAAGATTATTAGACTCTCCAGTTGATGTGTATTGGAGGCATGGCATGATTTGTTTACTCTTGAATATTGGCAAAAATTTAATATTTCTGCTACTTTGAGCTCAATTTCAAGGTACTTTTCATCATGAAACCAATCAAAATCATCTCTATTTCTGTAATATATCTTCCATTCTATCAAATGAGACCAAGAAAACGAGACTACAACCATAAATACCATATGAAAATACACTGCAAATTCGCAGTTTTTAACCAAAAACACGCTCAGTTTTTTTCTCAATATGCACTGCGTGCTGCAGGATTTTTTTTTATATTGTGCACACTGACCATGCAGACCCATTCTTTCATATGTAGGCCTACCAGCTTTCTTCCGCTCTATTTGAAGGCGCTAGAATTTTGGCATATAAGTACGGCACTGACCCTGGCTCTCAAGTCGTACATGTATGGCACCAACCCTGAAAGGGTTAAGCCTACACTCTATTCAGTATTATCCTTTATTATTTCTTTAAGCTGGTCACCTCACTCACACTATCAGTCAACTTAATTTTTCCTTGTATATTACTTCATAAGCTCTCTGCAGAATTATCTCTCCTACAATGAAGGAGAAAGAACCATAAATGAAACAGAAAAGACCATTTACATGATGCCTTCCAAACCTAAGCTGCATCCATACACTTTTTTTTTTTTTTTTTCAACAAGTCGGTCGTCTCCCACCGAGGCAGGGTGACCCAAAAAAGAAAGAAAATCCCCAAAAAGAAAATACTTTCATCATCATTCAACACTTTCACCACACTCACACATTATCACTGCTTTTGCAGAGGTGCTCAGAATACAACAGTTTAGAAGCATATACGTATAAAGATACACAACATATCCCTCCAAACTGCCAATATCCCAAACCCCTCCTTTAAAGTGCAGGCGTTGTACTTCCCATTTCCAGGACTCAAGTCCAACTATATGAAAATAACCGGTTTCCCTGAATCCTTTCACTAAATATTACCCTGCTCACACTCCGACAGATCATCAGGTCCCAAGTATCATTCGTCTCCATTCACTCCTATCTAACACGCTCATGCACGCTTGCTGGAAGTCCAAGCCCCTCGCCCACAAAACCTCCTTTACCCCCTCTTTCCAACCCTTTCGAGGACGACCCCTACCCCTCTTTCCTTCCCCTATAGATTTATATCTTTTCATGTCATTCTACTTTGATCCATTCTCTCTAAATAACCAAACCACCTCAACAACCCCTCTTCTGCCCTCTGACTAATGCTTTTATTAACTCCACACCTTCTCCTAATTTCCACACTCCGAATTTTCTGCATAATATTTACACCACACATTGCCCTTAGACAGGACATCTCCACTGCCTCCAACTGTCTCCTCGCTGCTGCATTTACCACCCAAGCTTCACATCCATATAAGAGTGTTGGTACTACTATACTTTCATACATTCCCTTCTTTGCCTCCATAGATAACGTTTTTTGACTCCACATATACCTCAATGCACCACTCACCTTTTTCCCTCATCAATTCTATGATTAACCTCATCCTTCATAAATCCATCCGCCGACACGTCAACTCCCAAGTATCTGAAAACATTCACTTCTTCCATACTCCTCCTCCCCAATTTCATATCCAATTTTTCTTTATCTAAATCATTTGATACCCTCATCACCTTACTCTTTTCTATGTTCACTTTCAACTTTCTACCTTTACACACATTCTCAAACTCATCCACTAACCTTTGCAATTTTTCTTTAGAATCTCCCATAAGCATAGTATCATCAGCAAAAAGTAACTGTGTCAATTCCCATTTTAATTTGATTTCCCATAATTTAATCCCACCCCTCTCCCGAACACCCTAGCATTTACTTCTTTTACAACCCCATCTATAAATATATTAAACAACCATGGTGACATTACACATCCCTGTCTAAGACCTACTTTTACCAGGAAGTATTCTCCCTCTCTTTTACACACCCTAACCTGAGCCTCACTATCCTCATAAAAGCTCTTTACAGCATTTAGTAACTTACCACCTATTCCATATACTTGCAACATCTGCCACATTGCTCCTCTATCCACTCTATCATATGCCTTTTCTAAATCCATAAATGCAATAAAAACTTCCCTACCTTTATCTAAATACTGTTCAATACATGCTTCAATGTAAACACTTGATCTACACATCCCCTACCCACTCTGAAGCCTCCTTGCTCATCCGCAATTCTACATTCTGTCTTTCCTCTAATTCTTTCAATTATAACCCTACCGTATACTTTTCCTGGTATACTCAGTAAACTTATTCCTCTATAATTTTTACAATTTCTTTTGTCCCCTTTCCCTTTATATAAAGGGACTATACATGCTCTCCGCCAATCCCTAGGTACTTTCCCCTCTTTCATACATTTATTAAACAAAAGTACCAACCACTCCAACACTATATCCCCCCTTGCTTTTAACATTTCTGTCATGATCCCATCAGTTCCAGCTGCTTTACCCCCTTTCATTCTACGTAATGCCTCACGTACCTCCACCACACTTACATTCTGCTCTTCTTCACTCCTAAAAGATGGTATACCTCCCTGGCCAGTGCGTGAAATTACCGCCTCCCTTTCTTCCTCATACATTTATGAAAAAACTGTCAAAAATGTAACCTGAATTAAGTTCTATTTAACCCTTAAACGGTTCAAACATACACATGTTCTCTCGTGTAGCGCCCCAAATTTTTTGAGAGAAAAAAAAAAATTTAAATAGGAAAAAAGAGCATATGGTACCGAGGCATCCCCAGTTTTTTTCATATGGCGTACAGCGAGTGTGCACACCCATTTTCTCATGTCTAGGCGACTCAGGCTTATCGTGCCTATGTTGAATGACAAAGGAAACGTATATACATGTATACGTTTGGGGCGCTACGCAAGATAACGTATATATACGTTTGGACCATTTAAGGGTTTTATTATATAGTGGAACCTCAAATATCGAACTGCTTCCAACTCAACCAATTATGCAAGTGTATTTTTGTAAGTGCTTTTATAAGTGTATTTTTGAGGGTCTGAAATGAGCTAATCTAATTTACATTATTCCTGATAGGAATAAATTCGTTTGGTAACGGCACTCGAACAGCTGTCTGGAACGAAGAAAGTTCGATATCTGAGGTTCCACTGTACTATATTTGTGACTGGTTTAAATTGATATGAAATACGAAGCTCAGCTGTACGTCTTTCTACAGATTGCCGATTTTCCAAGAATCTCTTAAGAGTTGAGTCTAGGAAAATTTCAAATCTTTTAATGAGGTATAGCACAAATATTTACTCTATGAACTGGTTAACTGGTTTCCTCTTAATCTCTTGATATATCCTGTTCACACTCCAACAGCATGTGAAGTCACAAAAACTACTCATCTCTATTAAGTCTGACATAATACACATAAACCTGCTGGATGCTGAAGACTAGCACTCAAAACTTCTTATAATCTCTCCCTCCAACCATTCCTGGGATGATTCCCCCATCCTTCTACTCCTGAATTATACACCCTTTTGGTTATCCTAATCTGCTTCATCCTCTTCAAATGCCCAAACCACCTCTGCTAACTTTCTTTAGCCCTCTGAACTATAACTTTGATAACCCTACACCATCTTCTAATTTATACACTGCGAATTTAGGGAAATATGATCGAAGTAGGATTGCTGGTCTCTTTTTCTGTCTCATAAACATGCTGGATAGCAGGTATATCTTGCTACTTCTACTTACACTCAGGTCACACTACACATACATTCTTTTTTTTCAACACACCAGCCATATCCCACCGACTTGGAGAGTGTATAAATCTCAAGTGGAGGGAAGACGAGGTAGGGGTCAGCCTAGGAAAGGGAGGGAGGGGGTAAAGGAGGTTTTGTGTGCGAGGGGCTTGGACTTCCAGCAAACATGCGTGAGCGTATTTGATAGAAGTGAATGGAGACAAAAATGGTTTTTAATACTTGACATGCTGTTGGAGTGTGAGCAAAGTAACATTTATGGAGGGATTCAGGGAAACCTGCAGGCCAGACTCGAGTCCTGAAGATGGGAAGTACAGTGTCTGCACTCTGAAGGAGGGGTGTTATTGTTGTAGTTTTATAGACTGAAGTGTAAAGCACCCCTCTGGCAAGACAGTGATGGAGTGAATGATGATTTAAGTTTTTCTTTTTTGGGCCACCCTGCCTTGGTTGGAATCGGCTGATGAGTTAATAAAATATAAAAATGATCTAAGTGTGTAAGTGGAAGATGGGTATTAGCAAAGGGGATATAAATGAGGATATCTCTCCAAGACAGAATCTGCAATAATGGATTCAAATTAAATAAGTTTAGATTTAGAAAGGATATAGGAAAGTATTGGTTTGGAAATAGGGTAGTTGATAAGTAGAGCAGTCTGCCTAGTAGGGTTATTGAAGCTAAAACCTTGGGTAGTTTCAAATTTAGGTTGGATAAATACATGAGTGAGGGGGTTGGGTTTGAATAGGACTTGCACATGAGTTAGTGGATTTATCAGAGCTTATTGTTAGGGTAAAACTAAAGTGGATTGGGCAAATATTCTGTTAGTGAGTTGGATTTGTGAAAGACCTGCCCAGTATGGGCCAATAGGCCTACTGCAGTGTTCCTCCTTTTCTTATGTTCATATAATATTCACACTACATAACTGATACAGAAGAAGGAGTTATTAGTCCCTTGCTCCCAGCATTTCAGATGCCTCTTATGACATACACTGTTTAAGGAAGAAGGATTCTCATTTTTCCATGGAAGACAGTCATATTACATGTAAATGTAAATAATAAACTTAACTCACCCCCAAGGACTGCCGAATTGTCCGAGTACAACTCCATGAGCACTTCCTGCGACACCTCCGGTGGAGGTCGTGTTTCTGTTTCTTCTTCTGGATATCGGATGGGTTCAATACCACAGTAGTCCTCGAAGATCGTTGATGCTGTTTTAGAATACAGATATCCAACTCAATAAGTGAATAATGAACAAGATATAAAAACGTTAATAAACGTGGAAATTTCTTATTTATACAGTGACGTAATTCTGTCAAAATTTTTTCATTAATTTACAACATACAGTAGGCCTGGTCACAGACCGGGTCGCGGGGGCGTTGACCCCAGAACTCTCTCCAGGTAAACTCTCCAGTAGTCCTTCCAAATTCGCAGGGGTTATGTTCCAAGACCACCAGCGAATTTGGAAAAACCGCTAATTCTGGACGCAGTTAAAAAAAATGCCTACAAATGCCTATTTTTATAGTTTAAACCCTAAATATCCCCCCAAAACACTTTAATTTCAAACTCAGCTTCATACATTACTCTTAAAAAAAAAAAAAAAAAAAGTGTAAATATAAACCCATATACAGTACTGTACTGTTGTGTCTCCCACAGTGCTAGAATGTAAAATACTGATGGTACCTCCATATGTATTGTAATTCATGCAAGCCTGTTTTCTTTGGTATACTGTACTGTAATTCATGCAACCCTGTTTTCTTTGGTATACGTACAGTAAATATATGGTAATAATTTAATTTAGTAAAAGCTAAGTTAAATGTATAGGTACTCACCGATAATGAATGATACCATTCTCTCTACAGCACTAAAAAATTTACACAGTAGTATTATATTTTACGTATATGGAAATTATGCTGAGTTTACATTAATATTTATGTTACAAAATTACTAAACTATATTTTTCTTAATATTTAGCATTAAAACCCAAAACCCATAAAAAATCATATACAGTGGAATCTCTACTTGCGAGCGTGTCCACATGCGAGTTTTTCCAAATACGTACGAGCAGTCGATGGGTCGATTTTTTGCTTCCATACACGAGCAAAATTTCCACAAGCGAGCAGACTTCAAGGCAGGTTCCTTGACACTGGTGAGGGACTCTTGCTCTTTATCTCGGGAATTGTATCTCATTTGTTTGTTGGACTATCTTATTGAAACTTGGGCAATGTATGATGGAAAGATGCTTCTTAACGTACACCAAAAATGAAAGAAATCTAAGCATAAATAATGGAGTTCACTTCTCAGCAATTATAATTATAATAATTATAATAACAGACGGCTTCAAAAGGCCGTCACTAGATGGCAGTGTTTACCACAACAAAGAGGGAGCGGTTGTGGCCGCCTCCACCTGTTACATCATAATGACATATTTTATTCATTCTAGAGTATATATCATGTTTCTATGTTATTTATATTGTTTGTTATGTCATATTAGATGAACTGTGATATATAAATAAGCCATATAGATGATATTAGTGAAATTATTCATGAAGTATTTTGCCTGGTCTCCAGACAAACTCTCGTCCACCGCTGACACCGCCCATACCACTACATGAATGACATATTTTGTTCATTCTAGGGTATATATCATGTTTCTCTGTTATTTATATTATTACGTCATATTAGATGAAGTGAGATAGATAAATAAGCCGTAGAGTTTATATTAGCGAAATTTTTGGAGTACAGAATTCCACTGGAATGGATTAATTGCATTTCAGTTAAGTTAAATGAGGAAAATTGACTCTGCAAACGAGCAAATCCAGTTGCGAACAAGGTCATGGAACGGATTAAACTCGTAAGTAGAGGTTCCACTGTATTGCCACGAAAAAAAAAATTCCACGAATTTGCGGGGATTTCCGCGAACAATTATTAGTTAGGTTCTAAGGAAAAATCCATGAATTACTGACGCCGCGAATTCGGAACCATGAATTCACAGAGGTCCACTGTATTATATACAGAACCTTATGTATAAGAAATGAAGTGGAAAAGTTACAAAACAGCCTCATACATTTTAATCCAAGATTTAGTTGTTGTTCTTGTAATCTGAGAGGCAGTGAGCTTGGGGGTCAGCAAGATTTTTTTTTTTTCTTTTGAGGACTGAGGAGGGGCAGTGTGACAATGCTTCTCATTGTAGTAATTTAATTAGTCTCCTGCCTCCAGCTCTGGCACAATTGTAAATGCAAGTTCCAGCAGATTTCACTCTCCAACATACTAACACATGAATTGTCTGGACAAGATTTATTTCTTTTCTTATGAGGTATGAATGAAGAGCAGATGGTGTCATGATGAGTGGAAGAGGCACTGCCAACTACACCACACACTGATACAATGGATCTACTACACAATGTATCCAGACTACTGAAACACAAAATGATAAACTAAAACATTAATAATACAAAGGCCTTGTGAGAGACAGAGAGCATAATTCTATCAACAACACTGAAAGTACGTACTATAATCTAAAAATACATTTTCTCATTCACATTCCAAAACAAATGGCACCACTAATAGTGGGCCCTTGTTCAAGGGAAAGAAAACTTTCACTGATGGCAACAAAGAAATGAGAGAAATACTGAATTTGCAGTAAGGCAAATCTGACTAAAAGTTATCAATCCAAATTGTTTTTTTATAAACAAGACTTCAAACTTTGTCAACATCTTTAACATAATCTTAACCCCACTGAATCTTGAAAACAGCTGACATCATAGTCAACATATAAAAAAAAAAAAAATCCCTACCTAGATAATACAAGTACGTACTACTAAATATAGCTGCATATCTATAATTATTTTTTTCCAACATGATGGTTGTCTCCCACCGAGGCAAGGTGACTCCAAAAAAGAAACACTTTCACCATCATTCACACAATCACTGTCTTGCCAGAGACGTGCAATAAATATCCCAAACTCCTCCTTTAGAGAGCATGCACTGCCGTGCCGTTATGATAGTGTAGCTGTCACTTTAAACAGCAAATATCCTAAACCCCTCCCTTAGAGAGTATGCACTGTACATCCCGCCTCCCACCTTCCAAAAAGAGAGAAAAAAAAACTTTCATCATTCACAACACTTTCACCATCATTCATACATAATCACTGTCTTTGCAGAAGCGCCCAGATACAACAGTTTAGATGTCCCTCTAAACTACCAATATCCCATATCACTCCTTTAAAGTGCAGGCACTGTACTTACCATTTCCAGGACTCGAGTCCGGCTAACTGGTTTCTCTGAATCCCTTCACAAAGTATTACCCTGCTCACAATCCAACAGCTAGTCGGGTCCCAAAAACCATGTATCTCCAATCACTCCTATCTAAAACACTCATGTACACCTGCTGGAAGCCCAAGCCCCTCACCCACAAAACCACCTTTACTCCCTCCAACCTTTTCGAGGAGGACCCCAACCCCACCTTCCTTCCTTCCCCTACATATTTATATGCTCTCCATGTCATTCTACTTTGTTCCATTCTCTCAAAATGACCAAACCACCTCAACAACCCCTCTTCAGCCCTCTAATACTTTTACTAACTCCACACCTCCTAATTTCCACACAAAGAATTCTCTGCATAATATTTACACCACACACTGCCCTTAGACAAGACATCTAAACTGCCTCCAGCATCCTCCTAGCTGCACCATTTACAACCCATGCTTCCCACCCATGTATGAGTGTTGGTAGCACTATACTCTCGTGCATTACCTCCTTTGCCTCCAAGGATAACACTTTATTGTCTCCGCAGATACCTCAATGCACCACTCACCTTTTTTCCTTCATCAATTCTATGGTTAACCTCATCCTTCATAAACCCATCTGCTGACAAGTCAACTCCCAAATATCTGAACACATCACTTCTTCAATATTCCCTGCCTCCAATGTGACATCCAATTTCTCTTCATCTAAATCATTTGATACCCTCATCACGTTACTTTTATCAATGTTCACTTTCAACTTTCTACCTTTACACACCCTCAGAAACTCATCCACTAACCTTTGCAGCTTTACTTTAGAATCTCCCAAAAGCACATTATCATCAGTAAAAAGTAACTGTCAGCTCCCATTTTGTATTTGATTCCCCATAATTTAATCACACCCTAACATTTACTTCTTTTACAACCCCATCTATAAATACATTAAACAACCATGGTGACATTACACATCCCTGTCTAAGACCTACTTTAACTGGTAAGCAATCTCCCTCTCTCCTACACACCCTAACCCGAGCCTCACTATCCTCATAAAAACTATTTACAGCATTTAATAGCTTACTACCCATTCCATACACTTGCAACATCTGCCACACTGCTCCCCTATCCACTATCAGATGCCTTTTCTAAACCCATAAATGCAATGAAAACTTCTCTACCTTCATCTAAATACTATTCATATATACTTCAATGTGAACACTTGATCTACACATCCTTTACCCATTGTAAAGTATCCTTGCTCATCTGCAATCCTGCTCTCTGTCTTACCTCTAATTCTTTCAATAATAACCCTACCATACAGTTTACCTGGTATACTCAGTAAACTTAATCCCCTATAATTTTTATAATCTCTTATGTCCCCCTTCCCTTTATATAAAGGAACTATGCACACTTTCTGCAAATCCCTCTCTGAACTATCTGAAGAATAGTTCCTGACTATGGAACTGAACTTCTCCAGGCTGAGGGACTGACAACCTCAAATTCTACGACTTCAAGGGTGATGGACTGATTACATCGTCTTCACATCTCTACTGTTCCTGCCTACTTTCTGTATTCGACTGAAGTAGCCTACTGTGTAGGCGAAACGTTTCGGAATAAAGTTGCCTAACTGTTGCCTATGTGTCTTACCTATATTTACTATATTTATGTCTAATAAGTATTCTGTTTATATCAACAGTAGTGGTGATAAGAAGTTTGTGGGTGAAGGAGAGAGACAAGCTGAGTGTGTCACGTGTTGTGTGGGTGGTTTTGAGAGATGCCACCACACCCCACTACACCTTAAGTCATTCAAGCTTTCCAACACTTAAATTCAGTACCAGATGTCCAAACTGCTTTGCATTCCACTACCACTATGTTAGAGGGGAATGTTATCTCCTACGAGTCACATAAGACTGATGTTCTGCTGTCTCTACACTGTTGTATGGACATACATATATGCAGTTACGCTGGTG